AAAGAAAACAAAAGAATTAGCTGGGCGCGGTGGTGGACGCATGTAGTCCCAGCTACTCGGGACGCTGAGGCAGGAGAATGGTGTGAACTCGGGAGGCGGAGCTTGCAGTGAGCTGAGATCACGCCACTGCACTCCAGCCTGGGTGACAGAGCAACCAGCCTGACCAACGTGGAAAAATCCCATCTCTACTAAAAATACGAAATTAGCCAGGCATAGTGGCGCATGCCTGCAATCCCAACTACTCAGGAGGCTGAGGCAGGAGAATTGCCTGAATCCAGGAGGCGGGGTTTGTGGTAAGCTGAGATCACCCCATTGTACTCCAGCCTGGGCAACAAGAGTGAAACTCCCATCCCGCCGCCCACCCCCACCCGCCTCCCCCGACCCCTGATTACCACTATGGGCCGGACATAGTGGCTCACGCCTGTAATCCCAGAACTTTAAGGAGGCAGAAGCAGGCAGAATACTGAGGTCAGGAGTTCAAGACCAGCCTGGCCCATATGGTCTCTACTAAAAATACAAAAATTAGCTGGGCATGGTGGAGGGCACCCGTAATTCAGCAACTCAGGAGGCTGAGGCAGGAGAATCGCTTGAACCCAGGAGGCGGAGGTTGTAGTAAGCCAACATCACACACCACTGCACTCCAGCCTGGGGGACAGAGCGAGGCTATCTCAAAAAAGAAAAAGAATTACCACTATGCTGATGTACTTTCAAAAGAAAAAAGAAAATTATCACTAGAAAAATTTCACAGCTTCATCTTCACTGGCTCCTCAGAAGTATCTAATGCATTTACATTAGCTCCATATTTTAATTTTTGTCCTGAACCTAAAATTGTCAGTCCCATGTGAGAGAATACAAATCTGCATTGTGTAAGTAAATCAGGTTTTTCTAAGGTGTAAGACTAAAACATTCAAAGGCTATGGTGGCTCAGGCCCGTGATCAAGAGTTCAAGAACAGCCTAGGCAACGCAGCAAAAGCTCATCTACACACACACACACACACACACACACACACAAAACAGCTGGGTATGGTGGCGCACGCCTGTAGTCCCAGCTACTCAGGAAGATGAGGTGGGAGGAACACTTGAGCCAGGGAGGCAGAGGTTGCAGTGACCCAAGTTCATGTCACTGCACTCCAGCCTGGATGACACAGCAAGACTCTGTCAAAGATTCAAAGATGCTTGTATACTTCTTTTTTGCTTATCCTATACATAAATACAGGGGGACTGTATCCTGAGGAGGCAACACCTGGCAGAGGTTCTGATGCCTCCAAACAACCCAGCCGTAGGTCTTGGGATCCATTCCTCAGCTGCCCTGCAGCTCTGTCACATCATCTGTCCCACTTAGAGGAAGATGAAATAACACACATCAAGAGCACATCTGTTTGAGAGCCTGACTTTAGCAAACACTCAATAAACAGAGACCATTATTTATGCAATCGTTTCACAATGAAACAAATACGTTGTTTTTGTTTTTTTTTTTTAAAGATATTTTAGCTGGGAGTGGTAGTACATGCCGGTAGTCCTAGTTACTCAGGGCGCTGCAATAGGAGGATCACCTGAGACCTGGAAGTGGAGGTTGCAGTGAACTATAATTGTGCCGCCACACTCCAGCCTGGGCTACAGAGCAAGACCTTCCTTATCTTAAAAAAAAAACAAAAAAAAAACACACCAAAACACTGGCCAGGCGCGGTGGCTCATGCCTGTAATCCCAGCTCTTCGGGAGGCTGAGGTGGACAGACGGCTTGAGGTCAGGAGTTCGAGACCACCGTGGCCAACATGGCGAAACCCCATCTCTACTAAAAATACAAAAATTAGCTGGACGTAGCGGCACGTGCCTGTAGTACCAGCTACTCGGGAGGCTAAGGCAGGAGAATCGCTTGAACTCAGGAGGCAGAGGTTGCAGTGAGCCGAGATTGCACCACTGCACTCCAACCTAGGCAACAGAGTAAGACTCCATCTCAGGAAAAAAAAAAAAAAAAAAGTGTGTGGTGGCTCACACTTCTAATCCCAGCACTGTGGGAGGCTGGGGACGAGAGGACTGCTTGAGGGTGAAAGTTTGAATCCAGCCAGGGCAATACAGCAAGAACCCATCTCTATTTATAAAAATAAACATATAAAAAAGATTTTCAGCTGGGTGCTGTGGCTCACGGCTGTGATCCCAGCACTTTGGGAGACTGAGGTGGATGAATAATCACCTGAAGTCGGGAGTTAGAGGCCAGCCTGGCCAACATAGTGAAACCCCGTCTATACTAAAAATATAAAAATTAGCTGGGTGTGGCAGTGCACGCCTGTAATCCTAGCTACTCGGGAGTCTGAGGTAGGAGAATTGTCTACCTCAGAGGTAGAGGTTGCAGTGATCTGAGATCGAGCCACTGTACTCTAGCCTGGGCAACCGAGCAAGACTCCATCTCAAAAGGAAAAGAACAATTCTTTACATTTAGCTTTGGATCCAACGGAAGAGGTAACAACTCTGCTATCTATCTAGCCATCCATCCAATGGAGCCTAGATGTGAAGTTTATGCCCAATGACCTTGGGCTTGTGTGCAGCCTGGCACAAAATAGGCACAGGGTCCTTATGACCCCTGCAGTCAGGTTCCACAGAAGCTCAGTGGCTTGTTGGTGTCCTGCTCGTCACCTACTGAGAACACACATGCACAGCAAGTGCCAGGGCAAGTCTGGCATGTGCTTCTTGGAGCATGGCCTAGCTGGACACTTCTTCCTGGGCCCCACATCCTCAACCAGCACGCCTACCAACCACCCACCTACCCGGCAGTGACCGTCACACTTACAGCAAGCTGGATGGCCAGGTTGTCGGCCACCTTGTCTAGGAGGGCAGTTGTGGGCTTCTCCTTACACAGCAGCACCAGCTCCAGATCCAAGTCCCCCTTGAGTAGGAGGCCCTTTGCCACCAGGCCCACCCGCATCACTCCCCGCAGGGTTCTGGTCATATGCTCCGTCTTCTGTTCCCTGAGGGACAGACCAACACTCAGCTCAGTGAAGAATTCAGTCTGACCACGACCCAGAGGTCCCAAGACAGGCTGAAGTTTCTTAGAAAACAGGAGCCAACCCCTACCCTACGAGGTCAGATCGAGACCATTCTGGCTAAGAGGGTGAAAGCCCGTCTCTACTAAAAATACAAAAAAATTGGTCGGGCGCGGTGGCTCAAGCCTGTAATCCCAGCACTTTGGGAGGCCAAAACAGGCGGATCACAAGGTGAGGAGATCGAGACCATCCTGGCTAACACGGTGAAACCCCGTCTCTACTAAAAATACAAAAAATTAGCCGAGTGTGGTGGCGCGTGCCTGTAGTCCCAGCTACTTGGGAGGCTGAGGCAGGAGAATGGCGTGAACCCGGGAGGCGGAGCTTGCAGTGAGCTGAGATCCAGCCACTGCACTCCAGTCTGGGTGACAGAGAGAGACTCCGTCTCAAAAAACAAAACAAAACAAAAAACAAAACAAAAAAAAACAAAAAAAAAATTAGCTGGGCATGGTGGCAGGCGCCTGTAGTTCCAGCTAAACTTGGGAGGCTGAGGCAGGAGAATGGCGTGAACCCGGGAGGCGGAGCTTGCAGTGAGCTGAGATCCAGCCACTGCACTCCAGTCTGGGTGACAGAGAGAGACTCCGTCTCAAAAAACAAAACAAAACAAAAAAAAAAAAAAAAAAAACAAAAAAAAAATTAGCTGGGCATGGTGGCAGGCGCCTGTAGTTCCAGCTAAACTTGGGAGGCTGAGGCAGGAGAATGGCGTGAACCCGGGAGGCGGAGCTTGCAGTGAGCCAAGATCACAGCACTGCACTCCAGTCTGGGCCACAAAGCGAGACTCCGTCTCAAAAAGAAAAAAAAAAAAGAAAACAAGTACCAACCCCTACCCTGGCTACCCTCTCTACAAGAAAGAAAACGACGACAGAAAACTTCACTTACCCAGCCCCTTCTTTACTGTCGTCCTCTGGGGGCACATCCATGTTATCGGACTCTGCCTGCTCGCTGCTACCCTTTTCCTGCTCGTCTATCCAGTCGGACACAGCTTTGAGTGCCCGCTCCGTGTGGGACACCATGTTCTGGACTGCCTCCAGCTCCTCTTGCGTTGGATAAACGGAAGAATGCTTTGCCATTACATGGCGGTCATCATTCACAAAAATTCGCATTGGACGCTAGGGATGTGAGAATTAAGTTAAAAATGATGTAAAGAGAGCAAGCAGCCCAACGTCCATCTTTTAAGCTGCACAATTCAGAGTGATGCTATATCGCTTGTGTGTAAAAACCAAGCCTGCAGGAGCACAATTGAAGGACCAAGGAGGAACAAGCAAACTGAAACAGCTGTTGTGTCTGGGCAGTGGGAGACAGAATGGAATACAGAATAGATAATATTACTTTATAATCCAAAAGGGCTAATAAAAATGGTAATGGAATCAAATGCTTTGGAAAAGGTTACAAACATCTCTGTACGTGAGTGAAGAAATAGTATCTGTGATCAAAAACTTACCATTTTTACTTCTGTAGTGTCTGGAAATCAAACTTTTGCTTATCTTTTCAAATCGTGATAGATTTCCTTGGTGTTATCAATACTTCAGCTCTATAAGATCAGAAAATCTTTTTAGTTTCATATAACTTATAGTAGGATTCATTTTAGCAGCCAGGTACACAGTAGCAAGAATGACATGTGTGCTGCCTCATGAAGGGCCTGTCAACACAGCAGAACACATCTTTATTTCCAAGTAACCACTGCTAAGCCAAGGCATTAACTACGTAACACCCTAAAAATGAAAACAGATGGTTTCAAGAAATCTGATTTGACTTCAGGCCTACAGACACTCAGATGGTACTTTACTTTCTTTTTTATCTTCCTTTACATAAATATGCCCATTTTTACAAGTATGAAAATATTAACAGGTCTCCAAAAAACACTACAGGTAGAAATGCTCACATCAGGCTAGGCACAGTGGCTCACGCCTGTAATCCTGCCACTTCAGGAGGCCGAGGAGGGTGGATCACTTGAGGTCAGGAGTTTGAGACCAGCCTGGCCAACATGACAAAACCGTATCTCTACCAAAAACACAAAAATTGGCTGGGCATGGTGGGCGCCTGTAGTCCCAGCTACTTGGGAGGCTGAGGCACAAGTATCGCTTGAGCCCAGGAAATGGAGGCTGCAGTGAGCGGAGATCACACCACTGCACTCCAGCACGGGTGGCAGAGCAAGACTTCATCTCAAAAAAAAAAAAGTTCACATCAAAATCTTGGTGCTTGGAGAAGGAAAAGAGAGGGAAGGAGCTCTAATCCCTGACAGTAATGAAGAGATGGAAGAAAGACATGTGGCAAAGGGTCCCAAAAGGTTTCTGTAAAATGAGAAAGAACGAACCTCCCGAAAAGTGAGTTATCTGAAATACCAGGTGGACGACGACAACCACAGCAGCTTCAACTCTGAAGAGGCTAAGACAACTGAAGTGCACAACAGAATCTTTCAGGACAAACTAAGCCATAATTACTATTTCAGTCTCAGTATCATGTAGACTCCAACCTACTCAATTCCCACTCTACACAAACAGTCTGGTCCATACTGAAATCTTCCAAATGAGTAAACAACCAAAGAACCCCATCAGCACAATACACACAAGATGAATCTACCCCCACAGGCAACTGCCAGCCCCTTCTGACTAAACTAGTTCCCAGCCAGCAGAGCAGGCTCAAACCTGAAAAGGCCCAAGCATCAAGGATAAATTCTGACATGCTGGCCAAAACAAGAACTTCCCAAAATACCCAAGACTACCTAGCAAAATCTAACTGCAAAATCTAAACATCCCAAACTTAAAAACCTAAGGGTGCTTGAGTGAGGTGGCTCACGCCTGTAATCCCAACACTTTGGGAGGCCGAGGCAGGCGGATCACGAGGTCAGGAGATCGAGACCATCCTGGCTAACACGGTGAAACCCCATCTCTACTACAAATACAAAAAATTAGCCGGGTGCGGTGGCAGGCGCCTGTAGACCCAGCTACACGGGAGGCTGAGGCTGGAGAATGGCGTGAACCCGGGAGGCAGGGCTTGCAGTGAGCCAAGAATGCACCACTGCACTCCAGCCCGGGCGACAGAGCGACACTTTGTCTCAAAAAACAAAAAAAAAAAAGAAGTCAGGAATTCGAGACCACCCTGGGCAACATGGCGAAACCGCGTCTCTCCCAAAATTACAAAAATTAGATGGATGTGGTGGCACACACCTGTCATCCCAGCTACTAGGGAGGCTGAGGCAGGAGAATAGCTTTAACCCAGGAGGCAGACATTGCAGCGAGCTGAGATTGTGCCAGTGCACTCCAGCCTGGCCAATAGAGAGTCCACCTCAAAATAAATAAATGAATAAATAAAACCTAGGGGTCACCGGGCACGGTGGCTCACGCCTGTAATCCCAGTACTTAGGGGGGCCGAGGCAGGGGCATCACCTGAGGTCACGAGTTCAAGATCAGCCTGGCCAACATGGTGAAACCCTGTCTCTACTAAATATATAAAAAATTACTCAGGCGTGATAGCACATGCTTGTAATCCTAGCTACTCAGGAGGCTGAAGCCCGAAAATTGCTTGAACCGGGGAGGCAGAGGTTACACTGAGTCAAGATCACCCCACTGCACCCCAGCCTGGGTAACGAGAGCAAAACTCTGTCTCATTAAAACAAACAAACAAACAAAAAACCTAGGGGTCAAATGATACGCCTGCAGAGCCCAGCAACAGGACGTGGTGGGGTCAAAGACTCCATGACAGGGGAGGGATGCAAGAGAGGAGGAGTGTGAGGGGGGCATGGGATGAAAAGGGCAGAAAGCCAGTCCCTGGGCTCAGTGACTCAACGCGCCTGAGACTCACACCATGGGGTGAGCCACTCGATCAATCGTCCAGGGAAAGCTTCTGCACAGACTTGGACCTGAAACTCCACTTGCCCAGCCCACTAGCTTCCTTCTTGCATCAGCAACATGGAAGCGGCCCCTCTACCCTCGGCAGGACTATGAAAATGAAACAAGTCAACCTACTTGAAGCATGCAGCACATATCCCACAGACCTAACAACTAGTACCAGATTCTACTGCTGAAAAAATCTGCCTCCCCAGGCTGTAGCGAGGGCCAGGCGTGAGTGATCTGTGTGCAAAGGGCATCCTCTCTTCCACCTCCCATGTCTCTTCACCAAGCCAATGTCAAGCTCCAAAGGGCCTTCATTCCCCAATGATTCTGCCAAGCCAGTTCCCTTGGCTGTGGTTTCCCTGGATAGTCGCAAGGACACTGGGAATCTTGTTTATGAAGTGAATCCTTATGAAGAAATTAGTTACTTCAGTTAGGGGAATAATACTGTGGTTGTGCTGTAAAGAACCACCTTTAACTGTTCCACACATATTTAAGACAAATTTATGGCTGAAATTATATACCTGGTATTTGCTCTGAAATATACCAGGGAGCAGATAGTAGAGAAGGATGAAACAAGACTGCAGAACACTGACCGCTGCTGAAGCTGGGTGATGGATACTGTAACTCTTTTGTGCATGTTTTAAAAATTCGATAATACATTTTTATTTTTATTTTTTATTTTTATTTTTTTTGAGACGGAGTCTCGCTCTGTCGCCCAGGCTGGAGTGCAGTGGCCGGATCTCAGCTCACTGCAAGCTCCGCCTCCGGGGTTCACGCCATTCTCCGGCCTCAGCCTCCCGAGTAGCTGGGACTACAGGCGCCCGCCACCTCGCCCGGCTAGTTTTTTGTATTTTTTAGTAGAGACGGGGTTTCACCGTGTTAGCCAGGATGGTCTCGATCTCCTGACCTCGTGATCCGCCCATCTCGGCCTCCCAAAGTGCTGGGATTACAGGCTTGAGCCACCGCGCCCGGCCTGATAATACATTTTTAAATACGATTTGTAGAAATGGGGTGTCGCCATGTTGTGTGGGCTGGTCTCGAACTCCTGGGCTCAAGTGATCCTCCCACCTCAGTCTCCCAAAGTGCTGGGGTTACAGGTGTGAGCCACCATGCATGGTGAACTATTTTCGTCTTTTTGAGAGAGTCTCGCTCTGTCACCCAGGCTGGAGTGCAGTGGTGCGATCTTGGCTCACTGTAATCTCCATCTGCCAGTTGCGGGCAATTCTCCTGTCTCAGCCTCCCAAGTAGCTGGGACTAAAGGTGCGTGCTACCACGCCCGGCTAATTTTTGTATTTTTAGTAGGGACAGGGTTTCACTATGTTGGCCAAGCTGGTCTTGAATTCCTCAATCTCCTTGAACTGGGGAGGTGGAGAATGCCATGAGCCGAGATTGCGCCACTGTACTCCAGCCTATGTGACACACAGAAAGAATGTCTCAAAATAAGTAAATAAAAATATACCACCATCACCACCACAACAAAAATCTACTGAAAGCAGCTCCTGGGAGAGGTGGATCGTAATCTGCAGCAGGGGATATACCAGGTGAGCCTGGATCCTACTGGAGCACCAGAAAGCAACGAAGCGCTGGTGATTAGAGCAGTCTTGTCCTGAGGACATGGGAGCTGACTTATGAGGTATCTCACTGGCTACATTTGAGACAAATTCAAAAAGAATCATGCTTCCACCTATGTGAAGTTCTAGAATAAGCAAAACTAGTCAGTGATGGAATAGCCTCTAGGGGACAGTGGCAGGGATCACATGGGAAGGGGCCCTCCCAAGCTTTCTGAGGTGATGGTTACACTCTCCCTCCTGACAAGGGTTGGGTATATGCAGTGGCCAGAATTCACTGACTGGTATACTAAAGATCTGTGCATTATTTAAAAAGAAGAAAGAGACTGCGCATGGTGGCTCACCATGTTGGGAGGAGCATTTGTCAGGAGTCCCAAGACCAGCCTGAGTGAATCTACAAAAAAATTTTTTAAAGAAAAAAATAGGCCGGGCGCGGTGGCTCAAGCCTGTAATCCCAGCACTTTGGGAGGCCGAGGCGGGTGGATCACGAGGTCAGGAGATCGCACCCATCCTGGGGGCTACATGGGTGGAAACCTCGTTCTCTACTAAATTACAAAAAAAAACTAGCGGCATGGTGGCGGGCGGCCTTTAGTCCGGACCCGGCTGGCAGAGAACTGGGCGGTGAACCTGGGAGGCGGAGCTTGCAGTGAGCCGAGATCGCGCCACTTGCACTCCAGCCTGGTGACACAGAGCGGGACTTCCGTCTCAAAAAAAAAAGGGAAAAAAATAAATCCAACTTGGAATAATACTAAATTCTTTTAATATGTAAGGGGAAAGTGCATTTACAACTTCCTGCCTATTAGTTGGAAACCGGCCTTCCACAAAAAATAAGTAAGGCAGGAGTCAGTGGTCATTCCGTCGCAATCACGCACTTTGGGGAGGGCCGAGACAGGCAGATCCACTTTAGGGCACAGTAGTCAGGCCACCCTCGGCAATATGGACCTATGTCTCTAAAAAATTTTTAAAAATTAGACCAGATAGGCCCGGGGCACGGTGGGCTCAAGGGACTGTAATCTCAGCACTTCTGCGGCCGAGACGGCAGAACGAGTTTCAGGAGATTGAGGACCATCCTGGGTACACCCACGGTGAAACCCTGTTCTTAATTAAAAATCCAAAAAACTGTAGGCCAG